CTCCATCTCACTTGCGCACATGCTCTCTTACTCTCTCTTGAAAAAAAAATAAGTAAAATTTTTAAAAATTGTCATTTTATAATGTCAAAAATTGTCAAATGAAATAATAGATCTAGGGAATAATTATAAACAGATGCTAAAAGCCCCAGGCAAAATGTTGATTTTGGAGGGAAAGGGGTTACTAGCACATGAACCCATTGGTAAATTTCACCATCATTATAAATCAGACAACCAGAAGTGATGTATCTCGTTAGGTATTATGAAATACTGTTGCCTTAAAAATAAACAAATAACAATAATGGAATTACCTGGACCTAATCTAGCCTAAGATCTAATTCTTACTTTACAAAAAATATGAAAAATAGAGGTATAAAATACATAACAAAATGAAAATAGCCAAGTCTAAAATATTAGAAATCCAAGAGGACAAATATTATGTTTTCTTCAGCAAATCAATGGAATTAAAGAAAAAGAGGTTTGCTATAGAATAAAAGAAATTTAAGAGGCTTACAATAAAATGTGGTAGAGATCTTGATTCAAAGCCTGTTATAAATAGGTATCTTGAAGAAATCTGGGACATTCTAATATGGACTTGGTATTAAATGATTTGAAGAAATAACTAGTCCTATTAACTGTAATAATAGCTTCTTGGTAATGCAAGAAAAAAACAACAAATAACAAACAAAAAAATGAAAGTTCTTGTCAGAGATGTATACTGAGATATTTATAGGTAAAATGTCACCTTATTTGAGGTTTGTTTTAAAATATCTCAGGTTACCAAAAAAAATGGGGAAACAAAAGAGTGGGAAAATATTGGTAATTGTTGACTCTAGGTGATGGGTACACTGGGGTTCATTACACTCTTATCTCTAGTTTTGTGTAATGCATGTGGCCAGTGATTAAGAAAAAGAAAGGGGTGAGGAGTGAGAGTGGGAAAATAGTCTTGATTCTAAGTAAAAAGAGTGGAGGCAGTTAATATGGTAAGTACATAGTTAAGTGCGACTTAACATACAAGTGAGGTTCATACAAACTGAAAAAGGAAATGTTAGAGATTGCCTAGAGTTTAGAATTGGGGCAGATAAAGGAGAATGTGAAGGGTAGAAAAGGAAGCAATGGTACTCGAAAATGCCTACAAGGGCGTTCACTATCTGGATCACCAATGTTTGGGAACTAGTGTAATAAATGATTGTTTGTGTCTAGATTACTTCTCTTTGGTCTATCAACTTCTCACATGCCAGTGCTTCATGCAAAACATCCTATTGCAGCTAAGACTGTGACCTCCTTCTCATGGACATTACAGCCAGAATTCTATCTCGACATGGTTTATTTATAAAACCTTCTCTTAAAAAACTAGTTGCTGCAATTTAAGAGACTTGCAATGTCTTTAACCTCACTTTATTAAAACAAAACAAAACAAAACAAAACAGGAAAAAAAGCCCTGATTTTTTGTGTTATCCTAGGAGGTACAGAGAAGGCAATGCAATGAAGACCTGCCTTGTCACATTCAGTAGAGCAACTGCAGAAGCAATTTGTTACAAGCAGATGGGTAGTTGAACGCTAAAAAGGATAATAAACTAGAACGAAATTAGATATTGAAATCAATTTCTTTTAGGCTTACCATGAAACTTCAGATTTACACAATTGTATTTGAAGAAGTCAGAAAAAAAAAAAAGGCATACTAAGATGGGTGCCCATGAAAACAGAACTTTACACATGCTATAGCCTTTATAGTCACCATTTACTTGGTTGGTTCAAATATTTATAGTTCATTGTTATGACTGCCAAAACTGGCAACCACAAGGATTGTTGTCTCAATTAGGACAGTAAACAGATTGTCTCTTTTTTTAATGAAAAAATCTAAAATGTAATACTTCACAGTTTAACATGTTTATTCATCTAAACGAGCTAAAAAATAATGGTGCGACATCTGTTCGAGAGGCATTGGTACCTCAAATTTTGGCTGCCTCCCCACCAATTTGGTTGTTGTTTTAAAAAATGAAGAATAGGAGGGAGTACTGTCATCAAAAAATCTTTTGGCATGTAAAGCATCTTATTTTTCTTGAAATAAGGATTTCATGTCTGTTGCTAAGGATAAAAAAAAATTATTTAAGAATGAGGCACTCTGCTGAATAGGGCAGCAGTTCAATTGTTTTAAATGAATTTACTGGCCCACTATGGATATTTCCACACTGTTATAGTTCTTTGAGTGACTCTCCCAGTTCCCTTTATACCTACCTGCATCGCTAAAATACAAAATAAAATACTAAGAATGTTTCTGTTGGCACTGAATTCTTCCGCTAGGTTTTTTTTGGTTTTTTGTTTGTTTGTTTGTTTGGTTTTGTTTTACTGTGGGTTGCACTGATTCTTGATATGATGTCAGTGGAACAAAATCTAGCAAACATACATTCTATCCAGGCTGCATTGGAGCAATTCTAATAAAGGAAGGCAGTGCAGCTAAGGGTGAAATGGTAGGAATCTCCCCAGAGAAGCCCAAGGTAAGTGTACATACCTTAGATAGTCTAGTCTCTGGCTCAACAACCTTACCTTAGGGATGAAATACATGAAAATTCTCTAAGTTTAATTTCTGGAAGTTTTATTTCTGAAGCCCATCTAAATAAATCAAAACTTACTCTACTGAATTATCACCAACAATATCATTTTAGAATCTGGAAAATACAGTGCTTTAGTATTCACATAAATGTAAGCCTTATAATGAAAATTTAGTTTTATTTTTATTGGGAGTGAGAATGTATAATAAGTTAAATTAAAAACACTGAGTGTGGTTTTTAACAATACTAAGATAAAAATAACATATTTGATTACCCAGAAAACAGCAATGTTTCTGCTCTACAGCAAATTTAACACTAGTTGTCTTGATCTTAAAAAGGAACAGGATGAAACATATATTTGTCCCAGGACATTCAATGATCATAAATGCTAAATGTTGAGTTGATCAATATAGTGATTTCTAAGTTTTATTTATTAAACGCAAATAATTTTTGATCATCTGTTACATGCAGCAACTGTACCAGACTCTGAGAATATTAAAAGAAATTAACTTAAATTTTGACATGCATTTATTAAATATGTGCAGATCACTACACTACTGAAATTACAGAAATGAATAAGAAAATACTTTCATGATCTTGCAATCATTGGTTGGGGTAGAAGTATTTTGGAAAAATTGAAAAGACAGAAAATCTTCAAGTACTTGTCACCTTAAAACAACAAACTCTATACTGGCACAATGATAGGCTTTTTGTTCATTTGTTTTAAAAGAAATCCTGCATGAGGTTATAGTTTTACAATATCTCCTCTCAATAAATCTTTATATGTTTATTTTGCATTCAAAATAAGAACCAGCAACTCTTCAAGCTTCATTCACAGTATTCCATACATTGTATGTAGAGTCTGCTGCATTAGCTGAAATTTATCCTGCAGAGTATAGTTAGCAAATAGATTCTAACATTCTGAAAAGTCATTATAATTTTTCTGTTTTTGTCTTCTGAATTACTCTGAGCAGTGAATTATTGGAGGAGAAAAACCCACGCCTAAAATTTGTGTCTGGTGCTAATCTTAGATGTATGCCAAACACCACTCACTATTTAGAAGTGTGGTCCCCTGAAAATGTAGGCCAGATATCACCTCTCTAGCTTCAAAGATTCAAACCAGATTTCAATCTGGAATTTCTCTACAGGCCGCTTCCCAGTCAATGTGAATTTGAAAAATTTGCATTTCATGAAAACAGTGTTGTATAAACATATATTGTCTCAGTTTACCCAGAATTTATTAAAATCAGAGTTGGACCTTTGGGACTTATGGTTTTCTGGAGCCACCATAAGTGAATTACGCAAATGGACTAGCCAGATACTGAAGGTATCGATAACATAGGTAATCAAACTAGCTTGTAATTATACTATGTATAGATTAATACTTACTACTATCAGAAACAACCTTTTTCCTCAAGAGAACACCTCAAGAACAGAAGGGAACAGTAACATTTTTTTCTCAGGGTAATGAATTTTCAGACATTTCCAAGAGTATATTCATTTATTTTAAATACTATAAATTCTGTTATATTTCACTTGGATAGGTATCTAATAAACAATTATTACATATCTTCTCATTTAAATTACTACTGAAATTAGAAATAATCTTTATTTAATATGACTGTTTTTAACACCATATGGGAGGTAAAATAACTAAATGAAAATCGTTCACGTAAATGTGATAGGAGTGGGGGAAAAGCAGTATTTCTTGACATGTGGCATGTCACTCAGGAAAGGAAAAGGCCCATCATATCCAAAATGCCAGCTTGGATATTCCCTTGCCACCCACTTCACGAACAGACATACCACATGGCATTAAATGCTGCAACCTTTCCTAAAAATGCCACTTGGATTGGTCTGCTGTGGTGAGTGCATAAGAACTCTTGGTCTGTCTCATGAGTTTGTGATTTCAAGGGGTAGAATCCAGTAAATAACACTGGCTAAATTTTGCCCTCAGATGTTTGGCATAAATGATCTGTGAGGATATGGGAACTTTGGGCTGTTTTCACATTGATGAAATAAATTATGCTACTTGGAAAAATTCTACAGAACATAAAGCTACACAGTCATATTCAACTCTTTGCAAAAGTCTCACAGAACATTGAGTGTATTCATCAAAGCTTTCTTCTCTGGAAAAATATGGAAACAATCTTTACATTTTATTTGCTCTTCATAAATAAAATGTATATGATATAAAGCACTTTGTGCATTTGTTTCTAACTATTAATTTTTTATACTTCTTTATATAAGATATTAGCTAACAACTCTGATGTGGACACATATTTTCCCATTTTCTAAGCTTTATGTATTCATGTGTTCTAAAAATATTTTTAAAAAATCCATTACTGGTAAAAATATTGAATATATTGATTGTTATACTCCAACAAATGCAAAATATCTTAAAAACTTATGTAAACAAAAAAATTAGAAATGCAAGTAATGTGAGACATGTATTTTCTTCTATTATTTATTTTTCACAAAACAGTTGTAATTGATTAACTCTCAAGAGACAAAATGTAATTTTGTAAACCAACTTTGTATTGTTTAGGGTTAGGAGGCAACCCAAGAAAATTATTCTGAGTAGGTAGGACTTCCGTTACTGTTGTGTGAAAAAAAAAAAAAAACAACTGCACAACTAAATGACAGATTGTTACATACCTCCCTAACAAGAAGGGCAAACTGATACTGCAAGCAGCCTGAACATAATTAAAATAGAATTCCAAGTTTATATTAATACAATAATAAGTTAATTAAAATCAAGATCAACTGAACTTTCTATTTACACCAGTTCAGACAGCCCAAGAGGAAAGGAACTCTATTTTACAGACATATGTGACTCTTTGAGCTTCTGTCATCCAGGTGCCATTTCTGATGGAGCACATGTGCGCTGAACAGTTGGCAAAGAAGGAAAAAGATTACTGTAGATGTATGGCAGATAGTCTCTCTAATGATATAAAATATGTCTGGAAAGAAAGCAGGGCTTCTTTGTATAATGAAAAATTTCCCATGACTTTTCATTCCTTCTTAGGCTCTGAATGTGATTTGAGAATGTTTCTGTAAATGAGGATATATACTTTTACTTACGATGTATATGGAACAAAAATAGATTTAGTAATCTGAAGTGACGGAGTTATACACATAAACTGACTAAGACATCCGAAGAATTTAGGATCTATTTTCCATTTAATCTAAACGCACCATGAATAGGTTGCCTGTCAAAGTAGAAAGATTTATAAAAGTATCCGGTAGCATACATTATACTACATTGCTAGGTAAGGTTCTTTTTTTGATATCCTATGCAACTATTTAAAAAGATATTTCTCAAAACTGAAAATACCAGCAGAAAGAATTCAAGATGTTCCAGTTTCAGTACTTTAGAAAGTGTTGGTCCCAAGGGGTGCTTTTATAAAATTATTTCCCTTTAATGCATTGATTGCTGTTCAGCTAATCTTCATCTCGTTCCAGATCAGGGTCAACATCTGTGGACAGTCTGAGATAAAAGAAAGCATAGAAAGCCAGTAGGAGGGCCAATATAGCTGCTAGTACGAGGCCAACTTCCTAAGGAGGGGGAAAAAAAAAAAGGTATGTTTGAAATTGATGAAAAGAGATTGGTTGATGTTATAAGTTTCATCAGAGAAAATAGCTATATAATTCCATCATCTAGAATAATAATTTGAACCTAATTAATCACATTTTTTTGTTTAACTCCTCTTGTCATTTAGTAAAGCAATTTATTTTGTACTTGACAATACCGACTGCAATAAGGACATCAGTGGATGACTCATTTCTATTATTATTTCTATATAATTTGTAATACTAAAATTTCTAGTAATAAAATTTAACTTTACAATTTTGATATATTTGCATAGTTTGGATATCAAGATGTTGGGTGCAAGCAGTGTAGTTTGTGCCTACACAGTTCCTCTGCTCTCTATTTGAGTATGTTTAACTTTATTTGTTGCTTCAATTCGTTTGTTATTAGTTACAGCTTTAGGACACAGATTTTAAAACATTTATCTTTCTTTTTCTATAGGAAGAAACTGCTATTATAGCCAGTTTCTAAATTATGTCTCTGTAAGTCTCTATTAAATATTATTTTGTTAAAACTAAATTTAAACTCTAAATTCTATAGTTTATAATGTGGGGGAACAAAACTGAGGACTCTCAGTTCATGAAGCAAGACATAGTATAATTTATCAGAATTGTGAAGGGTTATTCTGAATATTTCATTTGGTTATTTGATATAGGTTATATTAATTATGTTAAACTAGTAGCCAAAAAATTTACTACATATATTATGGCAAAAATCCTATTATCTCCTAAGAAGTCCATAAGCTTCATATATAAATGAAGTACATAGTATATAGTATGTAGTATACACACACACCAATAGAAGTATTCTCAATATTAACATATCATTTGGCTAAAGAAATTTAAAATAAAAAAGAGCAACTAGTGCCAGTTCCATATCCTAAAGAGGCTAATATGTCTTTCTAATTTTCAATTGTGTATCACACTCATTCCTGGCATTGTTTTATGGAGAAGCAATTTATTTGTATATATGAATATATTTTACATTTCATCAGAATGTAAAGTTACTAATTCAACATATGCCATCTAATAAACTTTAAAAGACATTAAAATGAATTTGGTTTATAAGCAACAAGAAATTTTTTCCTGGATGTTGAAATTACAAATGGGCAATTTATATAGATATTTAGCATCAAATGTACATTTATTTAGATTTCCAAACTACAGAAGTAAATATTGATAAAAATCAGGGGGTTGATAGATTCAGTGTCAACCATTTTTATAAGATTTTTTTTTAAATCTAATACATCAATATAATGTCAATGAAAGTGAGTTTTTCTTTGTTGCATTTGGAACACTTTGGCATCTCAAAAGGGCATGGCAGCATCAGACAGGTTTCATTTATATTCTTATATCCACAGCTGTGCTCCCAGACCCATCTGGTTACACAGCTACTAATTTTAAGAGGATGTAATAAACAAGTGACACACAACTGCAAACTCCATCTGTTCTGTATAGTGGACAACAAAACTGTTCAACAGCAGTCACCATTCATACAAGCTTAAGGCAGGAATAAAGTTTTTACTCTTGATTGGAGGCCATCATCCACATCTCATTTGATAATCACCTCTAACTGCTGCTTTTCAACTGCTCCTTGTCCCTTCAAAAAACTATCATCTTCACTATACATTTTCAGGATATCCGGAGGCATGAAAATGGGTTTTAAGGGTAGAAAGCAGAGAACACTCATAGAATACAACTTCAGAGGATCCATTAATTCAATTAGGTTTGCTGAATATATGGTGGAGGGGGTAGGGCTAAGGAGTATTGAATGGGGAGGAACAGCATCATTTAAAAAAAATCCTTGTTCTGTTGAGGAGATGAACATTGTGGGACCACATGTACAGAGGGTTAAAACAATGACAGAATTTGAAAATACTGCTTTCAGGATGCTGGTAACACTAACCATAACTTAGAGAGCTCTAGGCATTTATGACCCCTCACTCCCTGGCCATTTTTAGTTTTATATCCAAAATCACAAAAAAGAAGAAAAATAACATATCCAGATGGCTCATCCCAAGAGGTTGTTAGCAAGATCTGTTTGACACTTAAATATTTTACTTATGTAACAGATAAATTAAATTTTTTATATTTATTCTTTTATTAGATTATACCTTTCAAATAAACCTTTCAAATAACTAATTAATTAACAAATATGAATTATCTTTTTTCTTCTAAATACTAGGAAACATGGGTATTTACATTCTAAAAAATGTTTAATGAAGTCATAATTCTTCAAAAATAATCTAACTGAACAGCAACCAAATAGGAAATATTGGTTATGCAAATATTTTTTAGGTAGCACTCATTACTGGGTCTTAAAATACAAGATTTTGTTTACATTAGTAAGACATAGGAAATAAAATACCTTCAATAACCAGAAATTAGTTCTAAATTTTGAAACAATGATATTCACATCTTTTTTTTTTTTTAAAGATTTGTTTATTTGACAGACAGAGATCACAAGTAGGCAGAGAGAGAGGGAGAGGAGAAAGCAGGCTCCCCACCGTGCAGAGAGCCCAATGCGGGGCTCGATCCCAGGATCCTGGGATCATGACCTGAGCCAAAGGCAGAGGCTTTAACCCACTGAGCCACCCAGGCGCCCCTGATATTCACATCTTATTCTGAATCAGCACTGTTCTCTCAAAACATTTTTAATTACTAAACATATGTTTACAAAAAGGCACTAAAAGTCTTTGAGCATAAAGAATATATTGTGTATTCCTTACCTCTCCAGTCCTAGATATCCCAGTCAATATTGTTGATTTTTATGGTATTGAAATCTGGAAGTTATTTCTTGTATAAATTGCTCCCAGGTGATCATGTCTTGGTCATCTTTCTTTCTATAGGTTCTAGAACATTGTAATATTCTTTCTATAGGTTCTACAACATTGTAATATTTAAAGCATTTCTAAACAGATAATGAAGGATTAAGATTTAGATAACCTATATAAGAAGTATATTAAAATTAGATAATACTTTGGGGGCGCCTGGGTGGCTCAGTGGGTTAAAACCTCTGCCTTTGGCTCAGGTCATGATCCCAGGCTCCTGTGATCGAGCCCCGCATCTGGCTCTCTGCTCCGCAGAGAGCCTGCTTCCTCCTCTCTCAATGCCTGCCTCCCTGCCTACTTATGATCTCTGTCCATCAAATAAATAAATAAAATCTTTTTAAAAAATTAGATAATACTTTGAAAACTTTACAACAGCAATATTAGTATCTCCACAGTAAACTGAGAACATTTTATAATATGCAATATAATAATACAATGCTGGCTAAGTTGAAGTGGGGGATCTTAAGGCCAATGACAAACAACCAAGGGGAGTCTTATTTGTATAAACCAGTAATGGCCAATTCAAAGAAGTGTTTTCTCAATCAGCTAACAATTAATAAATGAATTCAATGTCCTCGGTTCAATGTCAACTGTTTTTGTGGTATTATTTAACTCTTCTGAAAACCCTATGAGGTAATGTTATAATTGCTTTTGCAAATATGTCAGCTTAGACTTTGCTAGATCATGGCAACAGGAAGAGGAAAGAGGAATGTAATCCCAGACCTCTTTCTTCTCTGTTCAGTGTTGTCATGGCTGGTATTTTTCTATTCCATCCAGCTGTTCATATTTTCTATAGATTTAAATTATTTTAAGAGCATAACTATGATTCATTCTAAAAATAAGCAATAAAGTGATAAAATACTATAATATTATGGTCATCCTGAATCAACTAGATAAGAGTCAAACATGTTTGATGTTCATTAGTCCTTAGTTGCTTCTCTGACATTATCAATATGGATAAAATCACTCACTGGGGAAATTAAACAGCATTAAATGGCAATTGCTGAAAGAAACTTCGTTATTTAAAATTCTATGCTAAAATGACAAGGCAATCAAAGTTTAACAGGGCAAACTAATTAGTATGCCAGATTTGAAATGTAAAACACATCCATGGTTCTGATTCTAAAAAGTTTCATATCATTTTAATGGGCTCTTCATATAATTTTTCAAGCAAAATAACCAATGTTTAAAGTCAAGGTTTTTGTTTTTCACAGGTATACAAATCAAAATGATATGCGAGCTTATTCAAAAGGAGCTATGTTCAGATGTCAGAAACACTTCTGTACATACATTAAATCATAAATGAAATCTAAGAAAAACTTTTTTCTCAAAAAAAAGATAAGCAAGTTCTGCATTGTTTATAAAAAGATACTAAGTAATTGTGTTATAAGATAGATTTATCTGATACTAAGACAATCATTTCCTCAAATTAAAATAACAAAAATTATAAGGGCAAATGAAGAGAATGTGTATATATTAAAAAATGAATGGCTGCACATTTCTCAAATTCTAATTTATAGTTGCTCGTTATATTGTGCCACAAGAGGATTTTGCTACCCAATATCTTTCTTTAAAAAACCCCAAAACCAAAACACCACTTTGGAAGAGATAAAAGTGACTGACATAATGCCTTGGTGGAAAATTACAGATAATGCTCTCACAAAAAGAGACAATCATCAGGTAACTAACTGTAAAATAAAGAAAGAAAATAACCCCTAACTAATGCTTTTAGAAATATCATGTCATGGAGATAATTTAAAAGATGAACAAAATTTCATGTGAAATTAGAAGAAAATTTCAAAAGATTAATCATTTCTCTTTTAAACAAAAAGACAATTAACCTTTTTTTTTTTTCATTAAAAACTGACACACAGCACTAACTGAGGGGATTGTGTTGTGAAAACATACCGTATCACACGGCAATACTTGATCAAAATCAGCAATCAAGAGTAAAACGAAGGCAGTATTTGGTGATCATAATAGCAAATTCTGGAAGACAACCAAATATATCATCTGGCAGTTCAACAGCTGTTACAGCCTGGTAGTAATACCTTGGCATTTGCTATAAGCTATAACTTAGAAAAATTGATTTTTCATCTGCCAGATAAAAACCAAAATCTCCTTTTAACATTTTAATATTTAAATAAAGTATATACACTATTCACTTTAATTTTATACATTTGACAGTAGAACCATCAAGCTAATTTTTTTATTTATAGTTTGAGTCACCTCTAAATACTTGGCAAAAAATTGACATGAGTAGTAATATAAATGTAATTTTGTTGAACTTCATTGTGCTAGCATATTGGATTATTATCTGCTAACATCATTCTCAGATGTGCTTATCCCTCTTAAGCAGTTAAAACACTGGTTTTCTAAAAGAACAAGTTTGGGGACATCACTAGAATTTCATCATAGAGAGTACTGACAACAATAATAAAACACAGAATAAAATTATATATATTAATCATCTAAGATACATAATTATAACTAAAATTGCAATAACCATAAAATTAAATTTATTGAAAATAAAAAAAGTTTCTTATTTGGGCCACATAAATCACTGAAATGTTTGAGCAATATATACAGCAGCTAGAGGAAAAAATAAGCTGCAACTTTAAGTATAACTGGTTTTCTTATGTGACATTGTGTTTTATTTTAAGACCTGGTAAAAATCTCAGGATCAGAATGATGCTTCCCATTAAGTAAATTCTTTATAAGTACCTTCAATTCTGGCATTGACTTTGATTTTGAAATGTCATAAAACATTTAGCATTCAACATTTATGCAATCCAGTTTTAGAAAATGAAATGGCATGCATATATCAAATTTTAAAGTTACCAAATACAGGTACCTTTATCCCTATTGCTGTTTTCTTTGCTTCTGCTTTTAATTTGGTTGCTCGTAAAATAGGTTTGGTTTTTTTATAATCTTGTTTACCTAGAAAAAGATAATTTCAGGCAATGAGCTACGCTTAATATATAATTCAAGTTTAACAGCCAACTGAAATGTCAAGGAATGTTTAAATACAGTAAGCCTGGGACACAGAGTTGCAAAGGAGCTCCCAGTTTTGGAAACCATAAACATTATCACCCTAAGGTCAACTTCTCCTCTCTTAATTTTTTGCAGGAAGAAGATCTGACAGACATCTTCAATTTGGTGTGCAGTAAAAAGCTAAAAAGTTATTTTAGGGAATATTCAGAGTAAAGAAAGTAAACCTTTTGGAAACATTTAAAAACAAATGTGTAAGTGAGTATACCTAAGGTCCCATTAATAGGTAAGTTAACTTCATCTTCCTACATGAAGAATAAAAGCTCATTATAAATTTATTTTATTAGGGATATATAAAATAACCAAATAATCAATTTGAGGAATATCCTCAAGTTTTGTATAAGAAACTAAAGAGGATCTGTAAAAACTTTCAGTCGCTGAATTCATTAGAAAAATACATATTTAACTTTATTTGCTCTTAATAGAGGACAGAATAAATACAGCCAAATAAAAGATGTAGGAAAGCTGTATTTAAATATTAGTCCCAGTCTTCTCTACCACCTTTCACAGCCAAAGATGAACAAAACTAAGTTAGTTAACATCACCAAATTTCCTTTTTTGTATACCATTTGACAACTAATGAATAACAAACCTGAGTCTGTATGTAACTAATGAATTACATAACCTCTGAAGAAAATAGATTTAACAATACAAAAACAAAACAAAACAAGAGTAATAAAAACATTGACTAGAATAATATATTCTTTTGTTAACCAAAAGAACTTTTAACTAAGAACTGGGTCAATGGGTCTCAAATACAGTATGTCACTCTGTGTGGGAGTTAGCATAAATCCACGTAATCTCTCTTTTATATTCTTATAGTTTGCCTGGTTTCTATCTTATTCCCTTTCCTTTATGATCAGTTCCTTTCCAGACTTACCCCTATATCTCCTTTATGTAAATAATACAACTTCTAACTTTAATTTCCACATCTTCCTTGCACTGAAATAAATCTGAATGCAGTTGATCTACACTGTAGTGTATCATAAAAAGTTAATGTGCAATAAAATAATTCTTTGCTAATGATTCAAAAGTGCCTTTAAAATTCCATATAGATTTTTAGAATTAGAAATGGCAGGGAGAAGTGAGTCAAATGGATGGGAGTAATGAAGAAATGCTCTATTTGTGTTCATTAGGCCATAAAAGTGCTTGTTTGGCTGAAGAGATATGTGATTTTTTGTTGTTGTTGTTGCTTTTTTTTAAAGAACCAGTGTATGCTATTTCCTTAACTGCTATCACATAGCAGTCATTCTGGATCTATGAACATGTGGAAGCTTAATAAATATTATTTGATGATAAGGTTTAATGATCCAGAAATGAACCAATTGTAAAAATGTACATCAAATGATCTAAATTTAAATTATGGAATGAATAAACTACAGAAAAATATTACTCTGACCCAGTTTAAATTAGCAACATTTAATTTTGCTGCAAAAGCCTTGACAAGTGTTCACTCTGATTTCACATCTCAACAGTCAAACTATTCATGTCATTATTCCTGCTGAGATATAAACAGGTCAGAACAATGAAAATGGTGACACATCAAATGCCTCACTCAGGGTTACAAAGCAAATTTCTAAGGAGAATCTAAAGAGAAATTTGAAGATTATAGATCTGAGACCAAAAAGTCATTTCTTTTTATCTTATATATGCCCTATAATAATCTCTGGGTGCAAGGGGGAAAATAAATGGAAAAAGGATCGTCTTAACCCAAATGTTTTACATACACATATGCATTATTCTGGATGATGTGTCTGTCATAAAACAGATTCAAATATACTTCAAAGAGTCAAGGTTAAAGTGAGAATTTATCACTCTACTTCACTTGCCATGTAACTTATTAGTTAAATAATGTGTTCCATTTCAATTCAACTTCTGTATCTCTTAGAGAATAATACCTCTAGATTCATATTAAAGTTAATATGAACATTTGAAACTGTATTTATAACAAATAGATGGTTTTAAAAAATTATTTACACCTGGTACTTCTCCAAATAGTGCATCTGTCAGTAGTTTAGCATTCTGCTTGCTAACTATGATATCCAAAAGTATATACTGAAAAACGAGGTTTCAGTCTACTAAGTGAAAGCGTTTACAGGGGCATCTGTTAAGTTCTTTACAACTAAAACTAGATATTTCTACTATATCAAAGGGGGGTTTTCAACATTTAAATTTTGTATGGCTTCAAGAAGGATACCTATGCCTACACAATTGTAAAAATGTTAAATTCAGAAGCCCCTACATTCTGAGTACTTAACTTAGAAAACCACATACATATATATGTACATTTATATACATTTTTATATATGTACATTTATATACATTATATATGTATATATACACATACAAATACACTTACATATGTATGTAAACACATATATAATAATTTAGATTTTATATGTAGATGGCTTTCTAGACATAGTTGGTTCCGATTTTGGTTATATCGATAATACAATAACCAAAGTAGCTGTTTGACAATTACTCATTACCTTTTATATGAGAAGAAACTGAGCCACCCAGGCACCCCAAAACAGGAGATAGTTTTTAAGGGCTCTTTTGCCAGTACTTGCAAAGTACTTTGTCTAGTACTTTGCAAGTACTACAAGAGCTACCTATAAACACAGGTGTATGGGTTTTTATATGAACACAAGTTTTCAATTTATTAGAGTAGGACTGCTGAGTCATATGGTAAGTATATATTTAACTTTGTAAGAAACTGCCAAACCATTTTCCAGAGTGGCTATATCGTTTCATATTCCCACCAGCAATGGATCAGAGTTCTGGTAGTTTTGCATCAGATGTGTATTAGTTTCATCTACATTATCTAATTTTTAACATACAATTGTTTATACTATTCCTTTATAATCCATTTTATATCCATAAGGTCAACAGTAAGGTGCCCTGTTTCATTAATGATATCTTTGTGGTTTTTTTGCTTTTAACAGTGTAACTAAGTTTTTCAATTGTGTTGATCTTTTTAAATAAACTATTGGTTTTGTTATGTTTTTTATTATTTTTATCTTCTCTATGTTTTTTCCACTTTAAACCTTATTATTTCCTTTTCTTCAGCTTTGGGTTTAGTTTGCTCTTTTCATATTCTAACTTGTCTAGACAGAAAGTTAGGTTATTGATTTGAAATATTTCCTCTTCATAAATGTACTGTTTAATAGGTGCAAAATGCCATCTAAGTACTCTTTAGCAGCACCTCATACATTAGCATGAAGAAGAAAAAAGTTAGACATAAAACATATATGTAGATTTCTATTATATTTATCTATGCACTTACCTTTACAAGTGTTAATTTTTTGAGTTTTTGTTGTTGTTGTTTGTTTATTTTTTCTTTATATGGATTTGAATTACCGTCTTGTGTGTTTTCATTCCAACTTCAAGGACTTCCTTGTTTTCTTGCGGGACAGGTGTGCTATTACAAATTACCTGGTTTTGTTTATCCAAAAACATCTTAATTTCTCTTTTTTTAATTTTTTTTTCCATCTTTATTTTTTAATTTTTTAATTTTTTATAAACATATAATGTATTTTTATCCCCAGAGGTACAGGTCTGTGAATCGCCAGGTTTACACATTTCACAGCACTCACCATAGCACATACCCTCCCCAATGTCTATATCCCCAACCCCCTCTCCCGACCCCCCTCCCCCCAGCAACCCTCAGTTTGTTTTGTGAGATTAAGAGTCACTTGTGGTTTGTCTCCCTCCCAATCCCATCTTGTTTCATTTATTCTTCTCCTACCCCCCTAACACCCCACATTGCATCTCCACTTCCTCATATCAGGGAGATCATATGATAGTTGTCTTTCTCCGATTGACTTATTTCACTAAGCATGATACCCTCTAGTTCCATCCACGTCGTCGCAAATGGCAAGATTTCATTTCTTTTGATGGCTGCATAGTATTCCATTGTATATATATACCACATCTTCTTTATCCATTCATCTGTGGATGGACATCTAGGTTCTTTCCATAGTTTGGCTATTGTGGACATTGCTGCTATAAACATTCGGGTGCATGTGCCCCTCTGGATTACTATGTTTGTATCTTTAGGGTAAATACCCAGTAGTGCAACTGCTGGGTCATAAGGTAGCTCTATTTTCAACTTTTTGAGGAACCTCCATGCTGTTTTCCAGAGTGGTTGTACCAGCTTGCATTCCCACCAACAATGTAGGAGGGTTACCCTTTCTCCACATCCTTGCCAGCATCTGTCATTTCCTGACTTGTTAATTTTAGCCATTCTGACTGGTGTGAGGTGGTATCTGTGGTTTTGATTTGTATTTCCCTGATGCTGAGTGATGTGCAGCACTTTTTCATGTGTCTGTCGACCATCTGGATGTCTTCTTTGCAGAAATGTCTGTTCATGTCTTCTGCCAATTTCTTGATTGGATTATTTGTTCTTTGGGTGTTGAGTTTGCTAAGCTCTTTATAGATTTTGGATACTAGCCCTTTATCTGATATGTCGTTTGCAAATATCTTCTCCCATTCTGTCAGTTGTCTTTTGGTTTTGTTAACTGTTTCCTTTGCTGTGCAAAACCTTTGATCTTGATGAAATCCCAATAGTTCATTTTTGCCCTTGCTTCCCTTGCCTTTGGCGATGTTCCTAGGAAGAAGGTGCTGCGGCTGAGGTCTAAGAGGTTGCTGCCTGTGTTCTCCTCAAGGATTTTGATGGATTCCTTTCTCACATTGAGGTCCTTCATCCATTTTGAGTCTATTTTCGTGTGTGGTGTAAGGAAATGGTCCAATTTCATTTTTCTGCATCTGGCTGTCCAGTGTTCCCAACACCATTTATTGAAGAGGCTGTCTTTTTTCCATTGGACATTGTTTCCTGCTTTGTCAAAGATTAGTTGACCATAGAGTTGAGGGTCTATTTCTGGGCTCTC